GGCGCTACATCGACCGTCAGCGGACACCCACCGAATTCGATCTCCCCGAGCCTGTGGATGGCCGCTACTGATCCAGATAACCATGTTCCTCTCCTCATCTCCACCAGCTCTCGGGCCTCTACCGGAGGCTGCGCTCCCTGCTGCACCCTCTGGTTCTCCCCCGCCCCAGCCCGGCCTGTCCGCAGGGCCCTGAAGCTGGGGCGGGTCATCTTTTGGAGCTTGGCACACTTTCCAATGAATGAGTACTTCGGGGACACTGCGTTTGGATTGTTGTATTATGTAATATCATCTACTTGCGCCGCACTGCGTGCCTGGGCGGGAAGCCGCAGGAAGCCGGACTTAAGTGTTGGTTACGGAGTCTGCGGAGTAAGCTAGTTTACGGGAGGCCCGAAGGCGGGCGGGAGAAAAATACTGGTTGGGTCTTAGTACCTGTCTACCGGCAAGGGCGGGGGTCGCCCATGGGACGATCACAATGCATTGGAAATGCAAAGTTTTGGGGCACGCGTGCTGCCCGTAGTTTCTGGCAGGGTAGTGGGACGTTTGGGGCAGCGCGCGCGCACACACCTCACTTCGTTTTCGCCCTCCCTCCCACACCTGGGGGGGATTGGCTGCGCTGGATATTTGATCTTTTGGAGATCGCTTAGTCACGAGGTGACAGGGACCGGACAAGGCACACTTTCCAATGAATGAGTACTTCGGGGACACTGCGTTTGGATTGTTGTATTATGTAATATCATCTACTTGCGCCGCACTGCGTGCCTGGGCGGGAAGCCGCAGGAAGCCGGACGTAAAGCTGCGTTCAAACGCGTGTTCCGAATTAGCAATGGCTGCGAGCACACTGTCTGGTCCTGCGTAAACGTGTGTCACATCACCGTCACATGATCTTCGGTGTCCTAACGCAATTTAAACCTGTACGACTTGTATAATCATCGCACCATATAGTACATCAAATAACCCAATTCAACATTAACATTTTGGCGTCAATTTTAACTCCATATATGACATACTATCTTCAATGTAAATACCGTGAACGGTGATCAACGGCGAGACAACAGATGGACTGCTACGCAATGACAAGCGTAGCGACGGCCTGACGGAAGATGACGCAACGGCGAGGAGACAAAACGAGCAGCGACTGAAAACCCAAAACGGAATTCCCCTGCACCATCATGACCATTCTTTATTTCATTATTGCTTCCATGCCAGACAGTGTACATGGGAAGATGTGCCACATCCCTGATATCTGAAAATTTTGGCCGTGCATATGGATATCCATCACGTACAAGGCCAGTATCGAACACGCGTTTAGTCATACGCGCTAAGGGTTGTGGCAGTGGTAGGAAATGACCCTCGCCAACCGCTTGCTCACAGAATACTCACATTATCCTTAAGCTTCACTTTCGTGGCGACATTGTAGTCCCTCCAGTCGACCCAACTGACACACTGACGCTCTCCAAGCCGTCTTCCAGCTCGTCGAGCTCCGAGAGCCTGGCACTGTTGTTGATGTGATGCCCGTGTGCCTCGCAGCACTTTGTATCATTCGGATCTCATGTCTGCCAGATGGTTGAGGGACAGCTGCACCCATCGGGATGCAATCGAGATTAAGTGCTGTCGAAAGAAGAATGAAGCAGCAAACGCGCGGCCTCGCACAGGGCTGGGGAAAGAACTTTCAATGGAGAGGCGTGGCGGAAAACTTGAATTGGCCGCGCACCCATATTGCCAGAAAGTGTTCCAGCCATAACGAAGGAATCTCACAAGCACAAAGATTGAATCATTGGATTGCATTTGCGAAGGACACGACAAATCACGGCCTTTTCACTTTGAGGGCAAGGTCGGGAATAACTCAATGCACGTTGTTTGAACAAACAAGGCCCAATGCTACAAAATTTTATAGCATTCGTTGTTCATTATCACCCATACACAAACGGGGGACATCTTTCACTACCTCGCGTCCACAGTGGGGTGATTTTCATTACATTCACGCTATGGAGTATTCAGGTAGACGTATGGGCAGGGCTGTTGGGAACCTGAAAAATGGCGGTCCAGCAGACGTGCGAACAGCGACAAAAACATCTCGAACGTGAAGCCTTACATCTGTCAGCCCATCAGATGCCCCAATGAGAAAAAGAGACACATTGACACCCGCGACCGTGCCCCTTCGGACCTGAAGCAAGGGCGCGCGGAGTCCTAAACTACAACGCCGGCGGATCGTTCTTCCGCATTTCTTATCACTAATTCAGGTGCGCAATTTTTTGTGTCAGCTCGGTATTTTCTTGCACACATTGGGGTTGTGTATTTAGCGGCAGTGTCATTGCGACCCGCACCTGGGTTCTCACTCGCCCAGAGCCGCTCTAGTAACGCTTGCAATGCCGCGCCCGCTGTCGGCGATACTTATCCAGTGCGAGCTGTGCCGCTCGTTGTAGTCCATGATGTCCTCCAAGTTGTGCAGCCAGGTCTGGAATCAAGTTTAATACTCCTGCGCACATCTAGCTCACGGAACAGTCAGCGTCGATGCCACGTGACGGTCCGACAAAGGCTATGGGGAACAAAGGGGAGAGGTTGGCATTGGCAGGAGGATTGGCACGCGAAGTTCGGCGCACAGCAGATGATATGCCACAGCGGACTTGGCGTTCGCTCTGAACCAGACACAGGGCGCCATCAAGGCTGCTCGTTATGCGCAGGAGGTAGAATCACAGCTGCGACTTGGTAAAGAGTCAGGATCGCAGCGAGCCGTCCGCGGCAGTCTGTTTCTCACCTCGGTGCCTTCTTGATAGGCCCTGCCGTGCAGCTCGACCCAGGCGGAGAAGCCTCGCAAGGGAACGTCTGCGCATGTAGAATAATGGCAAGTTGGATGAGCGTCGCGGGGTTGCGCAGCCCGGGATTCCAGAGCAGCAAGAAACAGGCTGGCGGCAGGGTCGGTGTTGGGTGGTGGTGGCCGAGCAGCACGCGATTTTGGCCTTCAGTCGGGACCTCCAAGTCCCGGCTGACCTCAGTAACCTGGCTGTGCACAGCTGCCAGCTGACTGCTTTGAATGGTGGACTCAGCAGCATCAACCCAGCGTCAACTCGAGACTGCAGCAGACCGCGCTCGGGGTGTCTAAACCAGCGCGGCACGGAGGGAGGAGCGGGTGCCCGGATTGAGGCTGCCTACAAAGGACAGCATGGATCATTGGAGCATTGCTGCACGGTTGCCGTTTCAACCTTTCCGCAAAAAAAAACGGCAGTCCAGGAACCAGCGAGCTTCCTTATCACTAGTAAAGAACAGGCCAGATGACACAGTCTTGACACGGTTTGCTCAAAATCCAACTGTGTGCTTTTGGGACCACATTGGCCGAAAGTACACAGTTGGGTTTTGAACAGACCGTGTCAGGACTGTGTCATCTGGGCTGTTTTTTCCTAGTGTATGAGGTCTTCACAGGATACTGTCTTTGAAGCATCCGCGTGTCTGAGCGCAGCACAGTCTTGGAAACACTGCCGTTGTCCATTGGTTTGGGCACTGCGCGTCTGCTTTCGTTTTCTTCGAGAACGGAAGGCCGACGCTTCCCAAAATATAACACATGCTACGCATTTTCACCCAGCGCGCTGGACCAACCCCAACAATCCCCGCTCGATCCCGCCTGGCTCGCACCCTGGCCTTCCGAAGGTACTCCTCTCCTTCAATCGGTCCACAGTTGCCGCCGCGGTCGCGATGCAGCAGCAAATCGCCGCAGCAACGAACTACGCATGCCGGAAGGACATGACGTCACGCGAGCCCCCGCGAGAGGCGCGGCTTGGCAGGGCTGCTTGCCGTGGGTGGGGCCTGCGGGGGGGTGAGGAGGCTGGCCGGCTTGGGGATGGGAGACGACTGGGGGAGTAATTGCCAAATATTTTCGGGCGATTGTGCGAATATTTTCGGGCCGTCGGGATGGTGCAATGCCGTGGCTCCCAAGAATCCGAGAATTGGGAGAGTGCAGCTAAGCGGCTGCCTGAGATACTTGATGTATAATGGCAGACTGGGAGCGTTCTGATGTGAGACGGTGCGACTTGACATTTAGGCCTGGTTCTCGCGGCCTGGTGCTGCGCGAAGTCGGCACACCCAAGTAGTCGTTCTGTCTTTCCGTGAAGATCCCTTCTCGTTTCGGACGCCGTAAACGCTGCTCCACTGACCCATTAATTAATGGGTTATAACCCACGTTGGCCTTGCCAGCGCAAGAAGAAGGGATCTTCACGGAAAGACAGAGGGACCAATAGAGTCTCCGTGAAGTCTCAGCTCTTCATGACGACGGGCTGAGAGCTGAGCCAGCGGGCGGCAGCGGCTTCGTATAGGATTCACTGTGATTTGTCCAGTGATACGTGTCACTTACCCGGCGGGTTGATGCAGCATTACGTGTTAGACCTTTGTTGCTGCACAAATTGTCCAAGTTGAGTCCCCTTCCGGCGTTTAGATCCAGGCGTTGGTTTGTGAGCAGCAGGGTGAACACCCTTTTGGCCACAGTGTCGACAAGGCGAAATATTAGTCAGCATCAGTTGTCACCGATTGGTATTAACAAACACCTGGCATGAACGCACGTTTCGCCTGAAAGGACAAGCGCATACCGGGGTGCTGCAGCTGCTACCAACATGTAGGCATCCGCGGTCGATCTGAAACGCCCTACCCGAAGAAAGTCCTGGCGACAAGAAGTTTCTGGAGTCGCAGCTCCTTCGCCGAAATTGACAAGTGCCGCTGGCCTACCACCGAACAGGCACCAAAAGATGCAGATCTGCATCTAGTCATTAATCCACCTAGAACTGCATAGACGCCTCACTAATACAATATATGAGTCAACACTCCTTGACTCATCAAGCCAGCGAGGCCTCGAGGAGCCCGATTGAGGCCCGGCAGCCACAACTTCGAAACAAGCAAGATGGCCAAATCGAAAAATGAACCACCATGCCCCGCAGCAGAGAGAAGCTGCGCCGGGCGAGAAATATCCATCCCGCATCATCCCGACAACCCGAAAAGAGGAGGGTCTCCTCTGGACGTCACTTCCATCCGTAGGCCTCGGCGCACGCCTTCCACGCCCGCTGGCTGGCCACCGCAACCACGCCCACCTCGTTCCCCAACCTGCACCCCCGACTATAGTCATAATTGTGCCCCTCCCTGTCCACCAAATTTCCCCCGGCTATTCTCAGCAACGCCTCCGCCGCACACATATCCCATTTCCCCGTCGCTCGCTCCGGGCACACCCAATGCGTCACCCTCCCGTCCAGCAGCATGGCCGTGACCCGCCCTGCCCCACTCGCCTCCACGACCTTGTCCGGGTGCAGCGCCGCCAAGCGCCCCGCGGCCTCTCCTCCTCCTCCTCCTCCCGGCGCCAGGGCCACCACGCGGCACCCCAAGGGCAGTACATTGTCGCTGTAGTGCAGTTTGTTGCCGCTGTACAGACCCAGGGACTCCGCGCCCCACAGCGTTCGTCCGCGGCACTCTGTGACGGTGGCAGTTGTCTCGTTGGTGGTGCTGGTAGGGAAGTGGAAGGGAAGGTGGATGGCGCCGGCAGTGGGGATGCCATCGACCGCCATGCCAACCAGGACGGCCACGGTCTCCGTGGCGCCACCCATCAGGTCCAGCGCACCTTCCAGGGGATCCACCCACACGGTAATCTGCCGGCATGACAAGTTGAACCGCAGTTAGCGTGGAACAGTGGCGCAGAATGGAACGCTGGTTTTCACGGATATCGTTTGCTGGGAATTTCATGTGCGATAACATGCACGGCAGCAGCAGCGAATGACTTTTTTTATCACTTTCATGGCAAAGAAATGCTTTAAAAAAAGCAGCAGAATGCCTTTGTTCGAACTAGCATTTGGAGCCAGTCTCAGATAAAGCAGATACTTGCATGTCTATGATTCATTTTGTATTAAATCACAATATATGCATGTCGTAATGGCAGCATTGTTGTAACTAGCAACCGGCACCAATATGCATCATACCATATCGCTAATTGCTTCTTTTGTCGCATTATTGACATCAGCACACATGTACACGGTACTTGGGTCAAACCTGACATCACGGTACTTGCATCAAGTGCTACTTTCCCGGCGTCGCCATTCTTTTTTTAATCACACGTAGCATGCACTGCTGCTGCCGGTATCACCGCCATCTTGCTCACGACAGCGCCATTGCCCTTAAGCAATTTCCCTGGATTCCGCCGCACCCACGTGCAGGCGAAAGACAAATAACTGGGGGTCGCTGGGCTACCTCGTCTAATTCCACGACGCCCCACTCCACAGGCAGCTTCCCACTGCTCGTCATGAACTCCGCCAAATCCGCGGCCGCCTCCACGCCTTCTTCATCCTCCTCCTGCTGCGAGGGCTGCCCAGCGCAGGCGCCCCCGCGGCCCACGACCGCCAGATCGGGGAACGACGCTCCGAGGCCGTCGACCACAAGGGCCTCAACCTTCGCGCTCAATTCAGCGACCCCCGATCCCGCCAGCCCACCCGCCACGCCACGCCTTATCAAGTCTCCAGCAGCCTCCGACAGCAGCACGCACCTGGCGGCGGGGGTGGGGAGGGTGGGGGGTGGGGGTTAGATTGGGTGTTCTAACGAGGATGCCGCACACGAAGAAGGCAGCAACCTATTTATTTAGAAGTCTAATGCTATTGGCACATTTGCATTATTCAGAATGTGGGCAATTTTCTGCTGAAATCGGGGCTAAGGGACAATGTACTAATTGCATAGCTGAAAGTTACCTTAGTGAGCACTCGTATGTACACGTTGCCAGGGCTACCACAAAAGGGCATCAATGTGGCAGTGCCCATTGATACTTCTCTGCGTATAGACGGCGGGGGGGTCGTTCGCAGCCGTTGCTTAAGGAAGATTGATAGTATGAATCGCCACATTATGTTTTTCAATTCCCAAAGCTATTCTGTATGATGGACATCACGTTGGCGATCCTGTGTTTGCGCCGACTGGTGCCTAATCATAACCTGCTGGCGCAAGACACGCAGTGATTTCCCGCTCTTTGGCAAACACAGTCAAATACTCCGTGGCGTTGTAACTATAACAATTCTTGCGATTCAATCAGCCACGTTTCAATATTGAAATTTCAAGAACATAGAGAGTCCGCCTGAAAAATACGTAACAAGCCCGGGTCCAAGCACTGCCAACTGCATTACATCAACGCAGCAGTTCTGTCCACACATGGTTGAGTACATAAATCGTTGCACGAACATCAATGCTTGGCATGTTGCTCAGAAGAAATGGTCACTCTCGCTCTGCACACCTGGCCAGAATCTGCGCCAGCAGTTGCTGCCCCTCCGGCTGTGGTTCTTCTGGACCGGACGTGCCCACCTTAGATTTGGCCTTGCCGAGTCCGAAGCGCGACCGCGATGGCTTGGGGTCAACGGCCTGGGCGTTTCCCCGCCCTTGCCTGCGCGGGGATGCCGGCTCCCATTCCGGAATGCCGCCCAGAATGTCGTCGTGCCTGGGGATGGCCTCGCTCATGGTGGCGCGCAGCGGCGGCAGGCCCGCCACCTGTTTGGAAGTGGGACAACGTGAAAATAAGTGTCACAGTCGCGCGATTTCACCTCGCCAAAAGTATGGCGCACCACGGATGCAGTTTTCCCTACGGTATGACTGGGAAGCAAAAGTGGGAAACGGAACCAAAAATAGAGATGCAAGTCGGCGAATTTATCTTGTGTTTTCATTTTTTATTATATTTTCATAAGTTTCATAAGTTTCGTAAATCTTCTTAATCACCCACCGAAGCTGTGCACCAGCTTGGGGGCCCACCTTGTCAAAGACCCCCTCTCCCACGCTCGCCGTCCGGCCGCCGGCCAGCGCCAGCCGGTTGTGCCGCCTCAGGGACGAAGCCTGGCCGTGCCCCTCCCGCGCGGCCGCCGCCGCCAGCCTCTCCTCCGCCCGCCTGGGCCCGCTCGCCAGCCTCCTCTCGCACCGCCCCAGCAGCTCGTTCGCCTTCAGGGCCATCTCCACCAGATGCCCAGCATCCCGGCAGTACATCGGCACGTCCCCGCCCCTCCCCTTGCTCGCGCACTCCGCCGGCGTCAGCCTCGCCCACTCGCGCCCCACCAGCGCTCTCACGTAATCCAGGTACGCAGCATCGTACGCCTCCGCGAAGGGCCCCCACAGAAACTGCCGGGCCGACTCCTTCTGCCCGTTTGCGGCCAGCGCCTCCTTCACGCACTTGACGTAGTGCCTGAGCAGCGCCTCCTCGCACCCAGCCACCACGTCCGGCTCCAGGGAGCTCCACAGCAGATGGACGACGTCCCTCACGCCCTGCCCGCCGCCCATCCACTTGAAGCTGCACGCCCACGCCGTCAGCCCCCCCTCCCCCCCCTCTCGAAAGAAAAAGTGCGCGGACTTGCAGTCGCCGTGCACCAGCGTGCGCCACCCCCCCCTGCCCTCCACCAGCCCGTGCAGCCTCTCCGCCGCGGACCTTAGCCTCTTCCCGAGCCCCCGGACCCCCGGGACCTGGAACGCCTCCTTGTACTTAACCGAAAACGCAGCGGAAGTCCGTCGCCAGGCCTCGTCCATCCCCTCCAGGTCCCCCCTCGTGGCCTCCAACGTCCAGTACGTCCCCCACCGCCACACGCCCGCCACGCCCGGCTCGCCGGCCTCCGCCGAGTTCCACCACCGGGCGTGGAACTCCGCCAGCCACGCCAGCGCCGCGCGCGCCTCCCGCTCCCTCATGGAAGCCGCCTGGAAGGCGACCGGCGCCGCGGCAGCCTCCAGGCTGCCCCGCGGGTCGTACGCCAAATCCTCCGCCACCGTCAGCGACACCAGCGGGTTCGGAGAGGAGTCCATATAAACGGGATAGGGGAGGCGCAGGCCGCTCTTGACAGCCCCCACAGCCATCCTCTGGTAGAAGGCAGTCTCCACGCTGTAGGCGTCTCGCCGCCGCTTCTGGTGCGCCCTGTCTCGGAAGCTGGCGGCGTCGCGCAGGTCCACGTGCTTCGCAACAAGCCTCACGAGGCGGCCGTCGGCCAGGCACAGGGCCAGGTGCTGCACGGTGCAGCTGGGTCGCTCGTCGCTGGGCTGGGCCTCCCAGGCGGCGGCTACGGGCGCGTCGAAGGTATCCTCGGCGCCGCCCGTCGAGTTCCAGAACGCTGCGCACAGCAGGTCTTTCGGGTCCATCCCTCTTTGAGCATAACAGGGCGACGGCGCGCGGTGTGGCGGGCACGCTAGGGGCGCTGCTGATTGCCGCGAGGCCGCGTGTCGAAGGACAATTGGGAGGCCGTGTGTTCCGCGAGTGGCGCCGGCCCGTCGCGTGAAGGAGAGTTGCGAGGTGGTCGTCGAGGCCAACGCCGCATTAGCAGCCTCGACGTTGGCACGCACGAGGTCGCTGGCGAGTATTGGGTGGCGACTCCGGCACCGCCGCGGGTTCCCGAATGTAGGGGAAAGTAAGAACGAGTTCATTTTGCAGGACAGCGCGCTCGTGGGCCAACACGGAACGCAATGTGTGGCCGCATTATCAGTACGTGGATTTTATGTTGTCTGCCAATTCCCTGCCGGTGTTGTGCGCGCCTTCCATCTCCAGCCCTTGCGGTGGAAGCGTCTCATGAACGAGCTTCACACCAGTCCAGTAGAAGTATAGCAATACAATAGTCGAGTAGCTCCTATAGCTGCGCACACTATCATGGTATAGCAGTAGTGCAATATTGAAGTATTGCAGTAGTAATAGTCTAGTAGTGCAGCAGAAGTATAATAAGGAAAGGCATGGGTAGCTCATACTTGTGGCCGCCATTTGGTGGCACAATTATTCGAGCCATGAATTTGGCGAGTTGTTGCCATGATCTCGCAGCATCGATGTACTGTTAGGCTGCCAGATTTGTGGAATCAGCGCATGTAAGCAAAGGAGGAGACAACTGGATGTCACAGTTGAACCGATTGGCCAATCAACTAAGCATCCATTAACTGATCGCTCGCTTAGTTAGTTATCGGATCAGTGAACCAAGCAAAGATAAGATGTGGGCCTTCAGGAAGTTCACCCATCCCCCTCGCAACGGCTGCTGTGGGAGATCATCACCGGCAGGTCTCAAATCCTATGAAAATAAACTGCGCGAAATTTTCCGAGATTGAAACGCACCAAATAATATTTCTCGTAGTGGCGGTGATCTCGGAATCGATGTTGCTGGTTTCGACTCCCAATAAACATATTCGGTGCTCCTCGAGCTCATAAATTCTGGCAGACCTCGCCAGTCGCCCGTGTATGCCACCCTCTTTCGTCTTTGTTTGTTGTTCAATGCTCCTGTTTGCACGTTTTGCTTTTGCACAGGTGTCAGGGCTTGTGGCGCAACTCCCTGGGGTGCACTGCGGGCAGTCGCTGAGCGCCAAAGCGCGACGGTTTCAGCTGAAGTCAAAGAGAGTCTTGTTTGCTGGCAGTCACCCGGTCGCAGCCCCCGTTCGACGGGGTTTTGCGACCAGGCGACTGCCAGCAATTAAGACAATTCAGTCGTCGTTCGTTCAGACGTCTAACCGAGATTTTGCGAGCTCATCTACAGGTCATTGCTGGAGGCTGAAGTGAAGGCACGGCAGGCGACGGCCAGAGATCAGGGAACCCACATTGGCCGTCAAGGCCACTAGGAAAAAAAGGGCCAAATAACACGTGTTCAAACGTGTACAAAGTTTACGGGTTTGTGTTATTTTTGTGTTCTTAGCGTGCAGAACTTTGATGAAATGTGTTTTATGTGTGTTCGCAAAAGTGTTATTTGGCCCTTTTTTTCCTAGTGGGCGGGCCCAACGCATATGGAATATGGCGTTTCCAAGCGTGGCTCCTTTGTGCCCTCCATTCCACTCCTGATTGATGGCATAAGCCCAGCCGGCATTTCTCGAGCACTTCGTTGCAGTCCCACGCAAGCAAAGGGTTGGGAAGACCTGGGTACTGAGCATCTTTTCTTCCGTCGTGTACTGGATGTTGTAGGCAATTTTTATTTTTTCCTGGATAGCCACTCACATTTTGGAGAAATACAACAAACTGCTGATTAATTTGAATGAAGCAAAACGGAAAAACACAACAAATCATGATGAACAGAGGTCAATTTTCAAATATGCGCTGTGCTCTGGCCCCTCCCCCACCGTCCATAGCATGTGCTTCCAAAAGTATGAAGATCAATGTTCATCTCACAAACATAAACCGTCGTTATATTGCCGCAGATCGGAACCTCAATATTGTGGCCCATCTTCGATGGGTATCCCAGGGATCTGGGGGTGGCAAGCAGGTCATCGGGCGGCACCAGGCTAAACCAGTTTCTCAAATTTTCCTTCAAACCAAAAGGCGGGGCCATTGCGCCTTGTTGGTGATGACCGGCGTACATGCATCCAAAACGTTTCGTCCATTCATTCCATCCGCTCGCTGCCCGTCTGCAACGAACACAAACGGTGATGATGAAAGAAAAGGGAGAAAAGGCTAGTCCGGGATAACTGTGCCCATGAACATATAAGTTCGTCCTGTCCAGCAAAACATCGATGCTCACGCGGACTCATGCAGCCCCTAATTACGCGACTCTGGTGCTACCTTGCCCTTTTCTCCCACTCTCGTTTGGCCAGGAGGAAAGCTGCCACCAGGGCACCTGAGTTCTCGGAAACCAGGGCTGCATTTGACCGTGGCACATTGGCCCTGGTACTGCGACACGCCTTTCGATGGGAGGTGGTGCCTGTCTTTGAGAAGGCGAGAAAACAAGAAAATAGGCACCGCATGATATCACGTTAAAGTTGACGTGCAGCCACGGTTTTGATGTCAATATACCATAATGGCAGCTGCCCCTTTTCAGCTTTTTGATATGAGCTGCAGTTTTTATGCTTAAGGAGCGATTTACGCTAGCCAGGTGTGGTTTGGGATGCTCTTCGGTTTACGGCCTTTTCTACTGTCAATAAGCTCCCCTCAATAATGAAGAACTGCCTTATTTCCCCATTAAAATGGAATCCAATCACCACGCACAACAGATATATCGTATAGCATTGTTCGCCGAGGCTAGCCTCCACACACACACACCCCACCACACACCACACCACACCACACCTCCATCACCACGTTGAGCATCAGCTGGCGTCAAGGACGCAGGATGCACTATCTTACTTACATCCGCGCTATCTTACGTGACCCGCATTGCACATCAACTGGCTGAACCAGTATCCCCCGCTGTGTGTTGTCGCGTTGACTGGCAAAACATGCAGGTACCCGAACAATGTAAGACATTGTACGCACATCTCAATTACGACGTCAATCATATCAAATGTAGTAGCGCATCGCAGTAACCCTCTGCGACTTCCTGTACTGCGGACAAACAGCATTGCTGCGCTCTCTGGGGTGGCCCCTATGCTGTTCATCCCCCCCACTTACCCTTCCCCCACCTCCCACCCTATCCTTCGTGATCTGCCATGCATGGTTCCTGGCGATTACCACAACCATCATCGAACGGATTGAATCCGTTGGTGAAGCGGCTGAATCAATTGCATGTAATTGCTGCGTGGGTCGCCTTGTACAAGGTGACTCATATAACCCGGCCCTGCTTATTATGTGCACCGGATGGTTGCATAAACGACGAGCTGGCGATGAACAGACCAATAGAATGGTTTCCCCAGCCAACGATCCCATCACCGTACATGTTGGGATATTATTTATTTATTATATTATATATACTATTTAATAATATGAGGATAGGACATTTCGCATAGCTTGCAACAAGACAGCTTTGCTGGCGCCATATAATCCGATATTCTCATGCGCTGCCATGATCCGGTAATGCGTGTGAACCACCGAGAACTGAATTCATGGAAGCAACGGACAAACTCGTCAAACGTCAATGACTCACGCCTTCGTGTCTCAAAGTGCGGGATCGCCGAAACACATCCCGGAAGACGGCACCACCACCACTTTGAGATGAGGGTGCCTCGAACGAGGGCGGCAGCAAGCGAAGCATTGCGTCGCCGACACAATGGCGTTGACATAACCTTCAATGTCTCCGAGGATCCACCTCCCTCGAACACAGCCCAAACCATGTGTTCCAAATTCCCAAACGCGGAATTTTGCATTCTAGGTACTTTACAAGGCATTCAGATGACGCGGCGCCGCTGCAGTCATCAACCTTGGCCAGAAACATTACTACTACCTCATTTCCACTGGAAAGTTATAGATCGTTTTTAAGGATCGAATTCTCAAAGTGTCGTGAGCTCCCCACAGTGTTTATTTGCACTCAACTGCCCAAATGAAGGTTGATTAGTAATCGGATCCAGGTTACATGCTGGAGTTGCAAACAATGATTTGTCCTCCGCCCCCTAGAGCACCTGCAAAGCAGCATCCACCTCCGCCTGCAGCAAAGGCAACGACGCAGTTGAACAAGCGTTCGTCCTTTGCCCACTCCAGGGCGTAAACCGCCATTTCGGACTGGGATTCAACATCCGGGAAACCCCAGACTACAAGGACTGTTTGTACCGGATGTATGTACACAGGGCCCATACTTACGCACTTCCATTCGTTTCTATGTGTAAAAACGTACAAACTACTATTGCTCATAGATGCGAGTAGACAAGCCGTGTCTATATTATAAAGGCAGAGCCTGCAAGCTACATTCTTCAGATTGCAGATGTGCAGGTGAATCTCATGCACTTTCTGGATACGTTTGGGTGTGTGTGTGGGGATTGTCCAAGGACCTTCGTTGTTTTTCTTCTGTGGCGGTGGGCAGCAAATGCGCTCCCTTGGCGCAGCCTTGCAGCGTCCAGCGACCTTCTCGCACCGCATTTGCAGTGACATTGGGCTTGGAACGGTTGTGAAACACCGCTTGTCGCCCAAGGACTCGATGCCTCGGATATTGAACGCACAGGACTTGAAACACGGTTTGCGACCGTTCATCCCTAGAGCTCATTGAGCGCTGGTGTTCAACGAGGGTGTAGAGGTCTATTGTGGCTATTTCTAGAGTACTGCATTTGAGAGTCCAGGAGCCGCTGTCTCTCAGGCATTTTACAACCTCGCGAGCAATTTCAAGGGGACGTCAGCCCCAGACTTATGTGTCCTTCCAATAACTGAATCACGTTTATGCGTCCAGCCGTCACCCCTACTCAGAAGCAAGGGATGTGGGCCGTGTGTCACAGGACTGCAGAAATAGTGCTGACGTCGGGTGGAGGCCATTAGGCGCGGGCTCGCCGCAATGAGGTCTATTGCACATCCGTGTGCCATCAATCGATCGACCACACGTGCTCTGAGCAATACGTTGGAGTACTTGTCAAAGGGAGAATGCCACCATGGCCCTTGTACTGGCGCAGCATGAGGGTATGAGCGGGGTTTGTTCCATTTCCTGATGACCATCTGCAAGTATTCTTGCTCACATGGTCACGTCGCCGTGATTGGATCAGCGGATTCGGGACTTGGGCCACGTGTACAACGTATGGACGCAACGAAGCATTCGCTGCAAGTGCATTGTGCACTGCGCAGAGATGCGGTGCTGGTGGTCAGGTACTAAGTACAGGCCTTCCCTTTCCTCTCTTCACCTGCCACCAGCCTCCGCACAGCGGCTCCCAAGCACGACGTGCTGTCATGAATCAACCAATTGAAAGCCCCGTGACCGGCAATCGAGACACACCCGCGTGAGTCCGTTCAATCCAAAACCCTTTCAAAATCCGACCGCTCGACCCGATGGCATCCGTCTGAACCTTGGGAGTTGTGCTGCAGCGAAATGAACGACGGTCCACGTGCACAATTTTTTGTTCCAACAGGACCCCTGCCGTCCAAGATGTCAAACTTCTTCCATGTCAGGGTCCATCTCCCGCTCCCAGCCCTCTCTGTTGCCCACACTTTCCATCTGTATTCTCCCTCGCTCCGTGTTCAGCTACAACTTCGCCCATTCTGCAACCTGCGCCTGTCCCATTCAGCCTGTGGTCTGCTCTTCCTTATTCTGGTCTTCGACGCTGTCGTTGGGACCGGCCACAGGCTTCTCGGCGTCAGCCTCAGAGCCTGTGTCGTCCTCTCCGTCACCCTCGCCAGCATTCGGTGCAGGGGCTTCACTAGCGGACACCTGCAAAGCATCGCGGTGTTTCACACGCTAAACACATGCTGCTTCTCTTGAGAGTTTGACCTGTGGAAGTAGCGCAATCTGAGCAGCTGGCATTGGACATGCGGGTGCTGTTCTCACTGATCAGCCAAACGGGAATTCAGGGCACATGTCGGAGCTGGTCGCGAAGGCATAGCTGTAGAATTGGCAACGATTTCCCCAGCCGTTTCGTGCACCAAAAAAGGAAATCAAACAATTTAGCTTTTGTGCTTGTTTCGTCAACGCTCCTCACACAGCACGCATAAAAAAAATATCAGAAATCAAATTGGTTCTTGCACGCACAAAAAAGCGTCAAAGGCCACGTCATGATCTCAGATGATGAGAGAGCGTCAGCATGGCCCACGGACCACCAAAGAGGGCAAAGCAAGAGCAATGCACACATTCCCGAGAGCACACTCAGCCATGCTCCTGCCCACCTTGACCATTGCAGGCCTTATGAGTCGATCACCCAAGGCGAAGCCCCGCCGGAACTCCTCAAGCACCGTCTGGTCGGGAACATCGTCGTTGGGCTCCCTCATTACGGCCTCGTGGACGTTGGGGTCGAAGGGCTGCCCCACGGCGTCCACGGCCTCCACGCCCAGGGCCTTGAACACGTCGACCATCTGACGATACAGCCCCTGCCGCCAAAAACACACTTTTAAACAATGGATTGCATGCGTTGAAATGCCAATCAAAGCCGGGGGAAGTAGTTGAAGCTAACTGGGGTAAGCAGAACAGCAGTAAAGGTCCGTCCAATTGGAGGTTTGCTGCACTCCGAAACAAACCCAGGCCATAAAGGGAACTGCGTGCAAGGCAAGGCTTCTTGATCTTCATTTGCACACTGTGAAATACATGGCGCGGTCGCCAAATGCGACGGCAGAAACCAGTGACGCAGAGGGATAATGCAACATTGACAACACAGTCCACAGCAAAAAAAAGGACAATACCAGCTCTGGGGAATGACGTAAAAAAGGTACTCCCTGGGCAGCAGCATGGGCTTACTGATTCTCTGCAATTCAGAGATCTAATGAACGCTACATACAGGAAGAAAATTTCACACATGGGCTGCCATTTCTGAGCTATGCGTTTGGACCCTCTTCCATACACAGAGAGGTGACCTGGAAGCCGCTGACTGCCATCAGAATGGCATGAATGTCGTGAGTCGTATTGCTGGAGAATCGAATGAACACATTCCACCAAGGAACATCATTCGAAAAGGGAAATGTGTGTGACACTGTGCCATACTAAGAGATGGTATGAGAAGATCCAAATGCTAGGCAGCAAGCTCACAGAAAGGCAAAATGGTCCCCACGGAGCTGTCGCGCCTTGTGTGCATATGCCCGATTGCTCTTTTAGCCAGGATGCATGGAACTCCAGCACTGGAAACTGCTTTGTCTCTGTCCATGATCAGCTGATCGGCCCCTCTTGCACATGTACAGACTTCAAACGATGAAGATTGGACAGGCAAATTGTTCATGGACGCATATGTATCAGCTACAAGTACACTGTTTTGAACTCCAAACGGCAAATGCAGCCACAAGGGATTTACACCACAGAGCAATATTTGAGGCCACGGTGTGCACACATGCCCAGCATGTGTTCTGGCTGCGTGCATCACACGTTAATTAGAATAGGGCAAACTGCTATGCTGTTATCTATGTACGAATGAAACCATCTGCACCAGAAGAAAACAAGGCCAAACAGGCTGAATCTGAAAAGCAAGGAATGCTGCCAAGTCCCATGGAGACTATTCTGACATAGACGAAACTGTGCCATATACTGGGCCACCCCTCTGGCAAGATATACTTCATACCTATACTTCTTTCCATGCTGCACAAACAAACGATCAGCCTCAACTGTACCAAGAAATTCACACAACACTACATTCTCATGAGGAGGGCATCCACACCACTGCACTGCTTCCCCTACCCCCATACACACCGTTTCTTCCATTTCCTCCACTGTCATGGACAGCTCAAATACCTGGTAAGAGTTGTTTATCTTCTCTTCTTCCTCTGTGTTGCACTTGACCTGAGACTTGGCCAGCTCGAAGTTGTCCACCAGGGGCAGAAACTGTGTCACAATGTCGCCTTTAACAGTTTGCTGCGTCCGATCACGTTCCGCCGCCTGCATGCACAAGGACATACTGCAATCAACTTCTGGCAGGGTCGTGCCATCCACATGGCCTCCTTCCATACTCTCGTTGAATGATTTTTGCGCCACCTCTTCAGACCTGGCATATGGTGGCAACGCTTGACATCGCCCAATTGTTAAAAGGGATCCTTAATCATACTGACCTAACAATGGTGGCAACACTCGATACTGCCTACGTGAGAGGGCAGTGGTGTGCAGTGTTTTGACAAATACATGCATTGGCGATTTGGGAAGTGCAATGAAAAGCAGCACAATATGGTTTTCGTCCAATACTGTGCAACGATATGTACATGTGGCCAGGCAGTGTGAAGTCATGCAAAGCTGGCAATGGTGAGTTAAAAACTTATCTTGATTGCATTTTTGGTGGAACAACTCACAAGCAGCTTTAGGTAGGAGCTGTGGAGAGTTGCATGGCTGCAATAGCTTGATGTGTGTGAAGCAGTGGTTCACAATATGCAGGATGTTGGCATGACACACGACACTTGTCGCTGCCATAAACCCAACTTGGCTACATTACCTAAATTGGCTCACTGTTAAATTGCAGGACACAATCGACCAACTGATACATTCGCATTGGCGCATCACAGCACTGCCCTCAACCAATAAGACATCAGGCAAACCAGCTAGTGCTATGCCCAAGGAAAAAATCACCCAGCTCGCACTTTCTTGGAAAGTTACAGGGCGCCCTGTATCTCCCATGTTCCATATAAATTCAGAACTAGGGAAAAGAAACAGTGCAGAAGTGTTTCTGGCAAGACAATGAGCATCCTGGGCGTCAGGCACATGTCTTTTCAATGTTTGCGATGATTCCATTGATTAAACACAACAAACAACTGTTTCAAGGCCTTTAGGCCATGGCAGGCACATGCGCACCGATCGCTTCTTGAAATTGTCAAAGTCTGCACTCAACCGAAGATACTTGTCGTTCATGTTCTGCAGCTCTGCCTCCAGCTGCGAAGACTTCTCCTCAGCAGCACCGTCTGCCTCTGCCAAACTGCTGAGCTCAGTCTCCAATTGAGGCAAAAGGGACTCCTGCAGTGGACAATCAACAACTGCTCTCTCAGCACAACTCAATGCAGTATATCACCCAATGGGCCTATTAGTGCAAAACCACACACTTGAGTGCACTCAGGCCATTGTAAGGAAAGATGCGGTTCCAGAAATGTGGCAGGCTCCTTGAAACAGCACTGCCCCAGACAAAATAGCAGGGGAGAGGGTGACAACCATGGAGGCAACAAAAGCTGGATGCTGTTGCGCCCGTCATCACCATTCCAAGGTAAGGCCTTCGTTCATAATGTGCTTTGAACTTGTGCGATCCATGGAGCTCACAGGTAGGGATGGAGGGCAGTCCTCTGTTTGTCAAACCACCAGGGGTGCACAAGGATAGGAGAGAATGCATGACAGAAAACATAGCACTGTAAAGGGCTCCCTTGAGGGCATCCTCTATGCTCGTGCTACTCTGTGCTGTGTGCTCCTCCTGCTCCAACAGTGTGGAAGAGTATTTATGGTATTCATCGTATTTCCCTGCTTTTTCATGGTACTTTCACATAGTCCAGAAAGAGGGAAAATGCCCCGACAATGTGGCTGCTCAGTGCCCACTGTCTAGCATGTGTCCTTTTTGACTCCATTTTGGTTCAGGAAGGTAACCTCCATGCAGAGAGCCACAAAGTACTGTGGCTAACTCATCATGACCACCTCTTCCAGTGCATGATGGTGGTACCAGTCTTTGCATAATTTGAGGGGCTGAATTTGAACATTACGCACAACAAGGTGTGGTGGATATCTGATGTTTAGAGTAGGGACACCACCTGGATCGAAAGCCTGCTGCTGTTGTGTCAGTAGCTCTGAACATCCATGAGGTTTTCTCACTGTGAATGTGTTGGGAAGTACATCGTCAAGCCCTTGACCAGTGGCGCCTAAGCCAGATTTATATCATTTGGAAACAAAGGAAGCGAGGCGAAGGCTTTTCACGCCCAAATGCTCTGGCCACAAGGTCTTTTCACTGCTGGGCAAGACTGGAGGCACGAACAAATGGTCTGGTCCCACATCACTGGTTGCTGCAGGAAAGGTTCAAGGAAGTGGACAAAGGTGTACCAACCAAGAGGCTAGCCAACCACACTGCACACACTTCATGTCTAGCCCAACTGTGAATGCGCATTTTCCGCCATGGGCACTCCAAAATGACCAAAAAGTGTTTGGGCTGCCTCTTTGCATTTGCTCAACCACTCTGAAGTGCATATGGGTTCTGGGGTCGACACTTCCAATGGTTGCAGACATTGCTGACAGATGTTCTGGCTCAGGAAGAGTTGTTTGCACCTTGGATAGAGACATATGCACTTGCTGTCATAATTAACACATGATGATGATCATCATCATCGTCAAACACTTTGCAAGCTATATTCCAGCATATGATGAGGTGCACTCTGCTGGTAGACTTTGCACCACAGAAGCAAAAACTCTCCAGTGAAATTGTAGAAGCATCAATCGCAATCTGGTGCTGAGCAGGGCACAATAACTACTAAAGAGCTTGCAAGTTACAAAACAGAGCTGTCAGCGCCAATTGGATGCTCTGAGACTATGTCCCCATTTCGTGTTTGGTTTCCGAACACACGAGCATGGCCCCTTCACGTTTTCTGTTGATCGACCTTAGCATTGTACAGAGAGGAAAACAGCACACAGAATCAGCTGTCTGCCAATCTCTCCTTGCTTTTCTCACTGCTTCTGATCTGGGTTTGGACCTGGCATTATCACTGGACACACTGAGCTGACATGCCCTGTGTTCATCGTTCTTTTCCCTTATTTGTCCCATGTTCCCTGCCACAGCGCCTACTTGTTTAGGTGTTCATGCCTCGTGTACTCATCATTGACATCCTCAAAAGCCCCATGTGGCACTGGCCCACATACCAGGAAAGCAGCATCTGCCGTTCCCTCTGCCAATGCATCTCTCGCCTTCTGCAGCACATCTGCTCCAGGTCCCGTGTATTGAGATGTCGATTCAACCACGCTGCTGCAACACACATGTGCATTTTTCTTACATACATGTATGGATCCTGCCATGGCCTGCCATGGAATACAGTATGCAAGGGTCCTGCTTTGTCTAGCGAAGGGAAATGTTCTCAACAGAACTATGAAACACAAACAGAGGGTGATGAAACAGCAAAACAACCACAAACCGCCAGCATCACACGAGATTTGCTCATTGCCCATGTAAATTTCCAAAAATCGAATAACATTTGCTGCAATCCTGCTACGCTGTTCAGAAGCGGCTCCTTATTTTACCATTGTGATGTCATGTTGTTGTTCTCTTGGCTTATGCTCCGATGTATCTGCTTCCAACCTTACATTCTAAACACCAAAAATGGCGATTCACACCCTCGATGCTATACTGATGCTGGGTTGGTGTAGGTTCCATTGAGTCAGTCTCTAGCCTGGTTTGTCAGACAGTCAAAAGCAGCAAATCTTGCCACTATGAGGCAAGTACCTTCCATTGCCTGGGACACCTGCCCCCTCCTCTTCCTGCTTGTCGTCATTGTCAGCTGTGCTCAAGCCTGCTCCCTGTGTGTCAAAATGCAATACTTGTTATCAGCCTTTTCCAGCACTTCCTATTTCCTTATTTTTATCAGCATTCATGCTCTCTCTTGGCAGCTAATAACAACACCACATCACACTACCTTGGATACAGATACCGAACTCACAATGCAAGGCGATGCACTGCCCTGGACCGCAAGGTTTGAGGTGGAAATTTGCTGAATAAACTGAACCAATATCAACCGCAGGAAGCATAGTCTAGAGCACCAAATTCGCCATCACCACAGCCTGCTGGACATATGCTGGTGTCTTAGGGTGGTTGAACAGAATTGATCTGCAAGTGAACTCCATATTCCCCCCATGAGACAGCACAGCAGAGAAGTCACTGATCACACTGTTGGTTCATCATCGCATCGGAAATGACAACATATTGACCAGGTATGCCTGACCCCCCCAACTATACCAACTCTAACCAAGCAGTTGGACGACCAACCAATGCTCTGGAGCACCAGTAAGGCCAAAGCAATGCCTTCAAACATTGAATGGCCAAGTTGTATGGCTTCAATAGGACATGATGACTTGCCTGTAGCATATGATCCGATGGAAAGGTGGGATTCGATTGTGGTTTTGTTCTCTCTTGGGCACATAGTCAGTATTTGGGACACTGCTGAGTGGGAAACAGGCACACAATATTCTGAAACAAACAATCCCAGGGCAAGAAAAAGTACCTCTTTGGCCTTCAAGGTTGTGGTTGGCAATATGATCTGAGGAATATTCAAATAACATTGCCTGGATCTTTCTGTGCTGTTCTTTCATTACCTGCATTGAGCACCCTTGACCAAAGTGGGGACTGAGCCCAAGTGTTAGGTACTCAAGCACTCAAGTACTCAAGTAACATTTAGGGTCTTGTACATACTGTGCCCAAAAGGTTGTCAGGGTGAACGGATTTGTTTGCAGTACATGGAGTTTCAAACGTACCCCTGAAGGTGCTTTGTGCGGCGTTGTGTGCCAAATGCAAAGTAATCCAAATCCAGAATATGGCATGCTGGAAGCAATCACAAGTTCTGAGTGCATGCCATTGCCAGCATAGCTTTGGTGGAGCAAATCCAGTTCTCCTCAAATTGGCTTTGAAGCAGTGAATGGATCAAGTTGATACAGGGGGAAGTTGACAATCATGCCAAAACAAACTTACTGGATGGACCCGTATTTGCTATTTGTAACAATTTGTGGCATTCTGGCAAAGCATCCTCCCCCCATGCAAGGAACAGAAGGGATTCTGAGACCAGAGTGACAAGCAGACATTAAAAAGGGTGCAAGTACGCCAGCCTTCCGATGCAGTAGCCGTGTTTCAATGTGTGACTCAAATGAGAAGCAAAAGGCTCTGGCATGCTCTGGGTGAATGGCCGAGGAGGTTTTGGCTTAATCAAAGACAGGATGGTGTTACCCACTTCAGTTCATTGGCATTGGCCAACATAAGCATCTTTGTGCGAGTTTTGACTTCAATTGGAGGCTACTACGCAACTCTTCAGCACAACGTCCCCAATGAAGGCAGGGGCAGGGGACTGGGACCTGTTTCTGCGATTGCGATGAGCCGATTCCGGCAACAAACCGCCGATTGCCAGTCTGCCGCCAGTTCGTGATGCACACCCTGTTGGCAGTTGCCAGCCGCGCGGCCAACACCAATCCCAACCGACCGCCAAGCCGCCGGAATCGCAACATCGCCTCCCATCCCCGCAAAACCATTTCGCCTCCCCACCCTCAGCGGGGCATCCAAACACCAACGCATCGATCCAACTCCACTCCGCCGTGCAGCACCAACGTTTCCTCAGCATCCAACACCGATCATCCCCGCTCCCCGCCGCTCTCCTCCACGCGCGTTCGTTCTTGCCCACCGCCACTCATCGACGTCCCAACCCACCAAATCCAATTCCCTGACAACACCCAGGCTTCCATTCCCCAGAATCGACCCCACAAGCGCCGCCCGTTCGCACCTCCTCGGCCGCCGATCGCCGCGCCAGGCGACGCGCCGGCCGCAGGCTCCTAGCAATCTCCACCCTGCTCGTCCCCCCCGGGCATGCCGCTGCAAGGGCCAACGGCCGGGGCGCGCGCACGGGGGCGGCCGCACCCGCGGCGGCCCTGCGCCCGAGAAGTAGGGGCGCCGCCATGTCGCGCAGAAGGATGGCTGGGCGGGGTGTGGTCTGCGGGGCCGCCCCGACGAGTGGCGACAAACGGCCGACCCAGATGAGGAAGCACGGTGTGATGAAAACTGCAGTCCTGCGACAGTATTGTTGCATTGTTGGTGCAGAGCTTTTGCAACATGCCAATGCCGTCCCCGGGTCATGTGGAGGTGTCGTAAGGAAGTTTGTTGCAAGAGATTTCAATTGAAAAGGGGCCTTAGAGTATCTTTATCGGTGGACGCTATTGTCCCGGCGGTTTTAGAGCATCATTGTCAGTGGATGCTATTGTCCCGGCGGTGCTATTCGGCTATCCGAATAGCACTGCACGTCAAAAAACTGTCATTCACGGTAGGGGGGCAACAACACCCCAGTAGCACCGCCGATGCTATTCTGCGCCGAGTGGTGGTACTCTGGGCACTAATAGCACCGTTCGAGGCCGAATAGTACCTCAAAATGGCACCCGGTGCTATTCATGCAGAACATTGTATTGCTGCCACGATGCCATTTGTGGGAATAGCATCCACTATTGTGGAGACGCGCAGAGGAGCAGCAACACTGCTGCTATTCGGCAAATGCAGCCTTAGTAAGGTGGCACGGCAGCCAATGAGAACCGTCCCTGGATAGCAACCGCCGGTGCAATAGCACCGACCAATAAAGATGCTCTTAGGAAACAAGTTATGAATGACAATTTCTGTGAAAAGGGCGCCATAGGTTTGGAGTTTTGAGTCTAGAATGCGGAGCAAAAAATATTTTGAGAGCACCCTGAATTGGAAGATAAAAAGTGGGACCATAGAAGAGCAGTTGTGAACAATTTAACGATAACTGGGATAACCTTAGGTTGTTAGTAGGTGTACAAATGTCACGATGTAGGAAGATGATTCTTTGCAGAGCTTGATCGAAGAATATGGTGTCTTAGACCATGACCAATGATGTGAGGCAGCTTATTTCATTGAATTTGGATATTATGGGGTATTTGAAGAAGTGTTTAGTTAGTGAAGCGTGTCAATAGACGCAGTTCTGGCCATGATTTAGGCCAATCTGTGTGCTGTATGAAGGGGATCTTCGGTTTTTAATGATGAAGGGGGCTGCCCCGCTTGCGATCTGCCACAAAGCATGGTGAGACGGAGCCAGGAGGGGCGTGTTGATGGCGCCACGTGGCAGTTTGATGGGAATATGACCCGAGGGGCAGTACAGTGGGGTGGCCTCTTTAAGGGCGCCCCTTGGCAACCCCATTTCACCGGCCTTATTGACCGTTGGCCTTGTTGCAGTCGGCAGCCCATTTAAGGCTGTAGAAGCCATTTACGGCACATTTAACATCATATAGTGCATATATTGATTATTTTTAAGGGTATTCTGGTATCGAAATATTGTTGGCACTTTATGCGTTGCTCAATAAGAAGCGTAGTATGTTACTTGGTGGCATTGATTGTCAATAGGCAATCGACCAATCGAAGGAGGGGTTTTTTGAACTGGGTGACCAGTGCTATGGGGTTGTGAACGCCCCTGTGCCCACGTTAGCATTGCGCTAAAGGCCCGGGTGCCCGGTGCACGAGGTACCTGAGGGTCCCTGCGCTGCGAACACCCCGCACGGTGCAAAGTCTTGCCGCCTGGGGGCAGAAAATGCCCAGCAAGCTTGAGCATTCACATCCCGACATTCTGATTGTCGTGGACGCGGGAGCCAACCTTGCAGCATGGCTGTGGAAGCCTTTGCGAGTGCAGAAACGGCGCGGCGAAGAGAATTGACTCGCCAACGTAGCAAAGGCTGCACGATCCATTTCTGAATCGCCATCGGGATCGACTTCTCCACAGATCCTGTGGAGGTACCCATAACACCCAGAGCCCTTGTGCATATTGTAGTGAGGCCGTTGGGGATTGTCCTGGGACAGTCTGCACTTCTTGCCTTCGAGGCAAGGCATGGCGCCTTCCAAACTGCTTGTGGCCACGTCTTTCCAGTACTTTAGGTCGTGCCACCAGATATTGCCGGTTTTGACCGGCCTTGTTGACCGCTTGGCCTTATTCAGGGCGGCCTTAAAGAGGCCACCCCACTGTATGTGGCTGCTGACCGCGAGAAGTGGGGTGTACCGGATGAAACTGCGGCGAAAAGGCGTTGTGGCTGTAAGATTCCGGGGAATCAAGAGATGCTGTTTCAAATGGGGGTGCATTCCAAACTCCGGGGGGTTACAAGTACTAGGGGAGCGGAGAGGGGTGAGAGAAGCGATACGGTTCGGGGCTGCCAGGCCCACTGCTGCGGCCTTCCGTATATGCTGCTCGAGGTGCACACCTTCAGGCCTCTGCTGCCAGAAACTGCACGTGCCCGAGCACCGTGGCGCCCGCAGTCCCCTGCGGGATGGACATGGCTGCAGAATGGACAGGTTAGGCGAAAGTGCCCACCTGTTGCGTGTGTCTGGGTTTTGCCACGTGGTAGACGGGGGCCCTGAATTCGACGATGGTGGGCAGGGGGGAGGGCCAAGATTTGTTACAAGGAGAAAGAAGAACAGGTCATGCAAAGCGCAGCCCCTCCTAAGTGCATGGGAGACTCTTTTCCGTGCTGCGAAAAGATAATGTTGAGTCTCCGGTCCGAAAAGATGAGCACAAAACGGGTGTGTGTGTGTGGAAGAGGCCCATCGGCAACTGCGCCACGGGTAGGACTGAATCAGCTGATGGGGGCAGGCCCTGGCCCAAAAGTCCGATTCTCGTAACATCACCCACACCTCAGAGCCGGTCGCAGATCGATGGCTATGAATCGACGTCCACGAAGCGACGTAGTCGCGTCTGTGGTCGGCCGTGGTCACCCACACCTTGGGACGCGGCAATTAGCGTGTGCCCTGGAGCCGCGAGGTGGTGTCGCCCCGGTCCTCCCGAGCCGACGTCCTGTGCCGGGCAAACCTCGCCGCCTGAAATGGCTGTAAGTTCAGAGGTTTTGGAAATGTGCAAGTCATTTTCTTGTTAAAGCTGATGATGTTGAAGACTCATCTTGAATGCGTGAGGCAATTCTTGAAACGCGTAAGAGAAGCACATGTGCCACAGCACTGGCCAACAAGCTTGACCAAAGAGCACAGTTTGTCAGTCTGAACAGCCAGTCGGTTCTCAGAACTGTTATGTGCCCTAAACCACAACGCACAATGCTGGACTGCCTGATTGGCCAACAGGTTTCAGAAAAGATATTTTGGATGCTGTGACAAAACAGTAAATATAGTATTGCAACGGGAGGTGTACGCTGAACCACTCAAAGCCGGAGTACAGAACTGACAGAGGAATCTGAACTCATCGTACACAAAAACATCCTCTTTGCTATGTTTGGGTGGATTTCCAGACTGCCTACAACTCAGCCAACCATCAACGATTATGCAAAACTTTGAATTGTTATGGGACATCCAAAGAGTATACTGACATGTGGAGAGCATCGTATGCAGGAGCAACAATTAAATGCAAGCAGCGCAACGCCATCTATTTGTCAGCCCCTGTGGGTAAGGGCGTCTGTCAGGCCAGCTAGTCCTTTGCCTCGCACCCTGTTGTGGAAACCTCTACAACAACTTTCAGGCAGCAACTTTAACTTCCATTGTTCACACAGATTCCGATCTTGCCATCGATGTTTGCAGATGATGCCTGTGTACCCCTGGCATCTTGAAATCAAATTGGACAGGCGCTGCGAATGCAGGTGTGGAAATCTCTTTCTGGATTCGGGCCCATTTCTTCAAAGATCGCATCGTGGCTTTCTTTGCTGCAGCTCATGAGAAATAAAGATTTGACGCTTGGGACATCTCAATAGCTATTCCAAATGCAAGGGAAGATATTCAAGTCGATTTTGGTATGCTTAGCATCATTATTTCTTTTTTTGTGTGGGGGGGGGGGCGGCACCTGTCACGCTAAGAGATTATGTGATTGCTACAAATCGACATAAGGTGGAACGATGCTCTAAAGCGCTACTGTCAGCGGCTACCAACTCATGACTTGTTGCTAAACTCCCTCAAGTATTCAACCTTCAAGGAAGCTGTTAAAATGCATCAACTTATAGCCTTCCACTCTCATCGTGGCATTTAAAATCCCATTTTTCAGCCCACGAAAATCAGTACAACTCTGATAGTTTTCTGCTGCTCAAGAAATACCTAAAACTTGTATGCCACTGTTAAATTATGTTGTTCAGTCATCTTGGCATCGACATGAGGATTGACGCTAAGGGTGGTTGGGTGGTTGGGGGGTTGGGGTATGAGGTTTGAGCTCAATGTCAAATTGATGCTAGATATCGACATAGTGCCTTTCCTAACAAGGATTGACAAGCAAAATTCATGGGTGCCGAAACCCGTGTTCACATCAATCAAATATAACAACAGTTTCTGGTTGCATTCGCATCTCCAATCTGGCTTTTTTTTGCCCTAATTTTCGCAAATGTTGCACTCAAATAGGAGCACTTGTGAGGCCGTCACAAGTTGCCTTGGCTGCAACGTGAGAGGGGTAATCATCACATTCAAGAATGGTGAGGTTGCACCTCATTGCAATGATGATCAAAGTCCGCAACCTTGTCCACAAAGTTCTTGTTGTAGCACTGCAAGAACTTGCTGCACAAATACAACATTCGGACAATAATAGATCACCCACTCACATATTTCATTCCCAGTTTAATTGCAATGGCTGCCACCCTATCTTAATATGTGTTGCATCCTTACAAAGCAACATGCACGGGAAATACTGATTTGGTGTAGTGAATTGTATGCTGCACGAGTGCCCTGTTAGATGTGGTGATATCAGGGCAAATTTGCAGTTGCAGTCAAGCTTCGCCCCTCCAACAAGCAAACTCAAACAAAAGGCAGCACTGAATTGATTGGCAACACTGAATTCCCTAGCTCTTATGGTAGTAAGCAGTACCACCACACGTCTAATGACTTCTTCATTTGGCAGGTCGGCTTCATCTTATCAAAAACAACTTCAAAACACACAGATAATTGGGTTGCAGAGGACGCCAAGTCATCGCCTTCGCCTCTTGACTGACC